AAATTCCCAAAATTGTACTAATTTTCAAAATGTTAAAGACGCAAAACATCTTGACTCAAGGCCAATGGGTATATTTTTAGCAACTGTAACAGGACACGAAAACATAAAGCCTTTGGAAAAAAGATAGCTTAGCGAGTTTTTAATTCTGACCTGTTACATGTAAATAAGACATAATTCGTTAAATGATTATTATGAAATTTCTAAAGATATTACTGAAGTGTTAAGTTTAAAGCACATCATTCTAAATCACTATAACTGTACTAATTGCCAAAAAAAAAGCAACAGAAGAAAAATGTTCAGGTTATTGGCCAATTAATAACTTTTTAAACGTACACCAAAAATACAAAAAGCTCATGAGAGCATTTATCATGCATAATAGGTCTTTATAAAGCCATATGAATGTTGCATTTAATTTGAACTTATCAAGGTACGCCGTGATCAATCTTGCATATGACCGGCGTGTTTAAACATTGATATTCTGCACGAAAATTACGTGCATTATGTCGCTGGCGATGACGATACAACTTGTATGATTTATAACAGACTGACAGTCATTTTATATCAGTGAGAAAGTGTTGAATGCACTGTATATATAAAACGTGAACAGGCTGGTTGACTCCCTTTAAAGTAAATATTAAAATTAAAAAACTTTCTACACTGAAATCAGCGACGCATTATCATATTTTTGTATATATATTTGTTTTAAACACTGTTTGTTAATTAAACAAATATGTTTTCATTGATTGATTGATTTATAAATTAAGTTTGCATTGTCAGTTTAATAATTAAAATTGTTGATGATACTAAAAAGAAAAAAGAATTAGGAAATGAACACAACAAAAACCAATCCAGTAAATTCTTTAAGTCACAAGAATGTTAAATTCTATAAAATTTTGTTTTGCTTATCATCATGAAGTTTATTAATTCCCGACAAAATCTGACATTCTGCTCACTCTCCCAAACATTAAATATTTAAATTATATACGATGCTAATTGTCACGAAAGAGTGAAATTTCATAAGAAACCACAAAAAAGTGATCTCACAAAATGAAAGTAAATTGAAGGAAGAGCGTTTAAATTCATTTGTAATTTAAAAACGTCACGTACCAATCGTTAACTTACGTTAGGATGATGTGCATGATTTAAACGTCACGTTTCAATGTCACTTCAACGGCAGATAAAACGTTTGTCCCCCCATATAAACCAAACGCTTTTAAAATCTTAATGATTAATATTATCACCAGAGTTTAAAGGTCACGTACAGAAAATAAAATCATCATACACTGGTTTGTGCTGAAGATAACAATGTATCCTCTAAATTTGTTGTGTTTTCATTTACTTTTTTCAATTCCATATTCTCTCGCGACGGACCGCCATTATTACATAGCGGCTATAGAAGTTGAATGGGACTATGTACCGTCAGGACGGAATTTAGTTACCAATGAAAATAAGTATGTATTTAGTGTTTTTTTTACCGATATGTCTTATTTTTATAAATTTATGAACAACAAATGTTAATGATAATAGCATATTGTTATTATTATTATTATTTTTATTATCATTATTATTATTATTATTATTATTATTATTATTATTATTATTATTATTATTATTATTATTATTATTATTATTTGTTGATATTATATTTATTTAAAAGAATTGAGTTTCTCTAAACTGAAATCCAGAGGCCATTGTATGCATGTTCAAATCAAGTTACGTTGTATATTTTTGGACATTAGTGCATTTGTATACTTTACATGCACACTTTGCATTGTTTTTTGTTGTTTTTTGTTGTTGTTTTTTTGGTTTTTGTTTTTGATACTAGCAAACTTTACATTGTATTAATATTTTGGGAGTAAGTGCACTCTGCATTGTACTAAAAATTTGAAAACCACAGTGCAATTTGCATTATAATATTTTTTTTTGGATATTAGCGCATTCCATGTTTTATTTAAGTTGTGTTATACGACAAAGCAGAACATAATAAAAAAACTGAAATTTTTATTACTGTGTTGATAATAATTTTGTAATTAAATAGTACTGTATTATTTTTACACTTTTTCTTACAATGCATCCACGATATTGTTCCTTTTTCTGTGACTTTTGGAATCTCTTGGAGTGCAATTCTTATTTTATACTAAGTAAATGTAAGCAATCAATATTTTTTTCAAACTTCTTTTGGAATTATTTTCTACAAGTATGCCTGTGACTGTTCACCATATTGCATAAAGTTTACAGGTAACGACAGCATGGGTTTATTGCCACTGTTCCGGTACTTATCTCATATTTTTACCTTACGCAGAATGCGCATGCGCGAAATGCTACTTCCGTTTCTATGGAAATATCGTATTGTAAAAAGGTCTATAGCTATTGAAAACAGTAGTTATAAAATACAACAAAATACAACAGTATAAGTAATTCAAAGAGCATTTTCTAAATATGTAGGAAACAAAACACACTCCTCCTTTTTCAGGAAATTCCGAGAAAAAACTGAAAATCGACGAGACCGAATTGGTAGTGTGTACAGGAAAGCCATTTATCGTGGTTATACAGACCAAACGTTCACTCAGCAACTTCCTGTACCAGAATGGGCGGGGATTCTCGGACCACCTATCAAAGCGGAAGTTGGCGATACTGTGTACATTCATTTCAAGAACATGGCCACCGGAAGTAACTTCAGCGTTCACCCGCACGGTTTTCTTTACGACAAAATAAATGAAGGTAGATTAACAATTAATAAGTAAGTAAGTAAATAAATATTTTATTAATGTGTCATATGTAAACATACAAGCAATGAACAAACAAGACATGGATAAACAATAGTATACACCCGGCCCAAAGGGCCTATAAGACACAAATAACATGGAGACAATAAATCTGAAAACACGTGAAAAACATAAAAGGTATGTTTAATTGTTTGTGTTTTAATATTTCAGTTAATTACAACATTAATACAGTTTTCTTTGAAAAATGACAACAAATCATTTCAACGCTGCATTATGTGTAACAATAGAGGCTAAATGCACCCTTTTCGTGTTTTTATGAGGACATATTTAAAGCCTGAGCCCGAAAGGCAGGGTATTTAATAAGTTTGAGCGCTATTCTTGTCTGATCTGGAAATTCCGCATTTCTATATTTGATGTTATTGTGTTCACTTTTTTGTATAGAGAAACCGGTTTTGTCATATTTTTAACGTGGTGGTGTGCCTCCTTTTGAAAGAAAGGTTTTTATAATGACACTACCAGGGCCGTCATTGCAATAAATTACTTAGCGCCGTGAGTCACGCATTTTAAAAAAACATTAATGTATATCCTCCGCCGCAATTTTTATGCAAGAATTATATTTTTTTATATAAATAAAACGTTTAAATTTTCTGTTCACTCTTAAAACGCTGAAACATCAAAACGTGACTTAAGTGTGCATTTTGCGCATTTGCTAATAAATATTATCTAATTACTATTCAAATAGCGTTTTAAAGTTTACAAATAAACATTGCGTTTGTCAGCTTAGTTTTATTTAAACCAAAATGATTTAAAACTTTTATGTTTTGATTAATTACAGATATAAATATGACCAAAGCCTTATACATATATTTTTGTACCAATATCATTATCCAAAGCATTTACCTGTAGTCAAAGACTGTCTTTTACATGCCATTTGACTGGCACGTTTTTTATAGCAAAAAGGATAAAGATATACTCTTTTTTTCGTCTACCAAATATTGAAAAATATGTAAAAGAATATTTATCTTATGCACCATTTCAAAAGAATCCCGGATGTTTTACAATTTTACCAATAGTTCGTGCATATATGTCTGTCCAAATTATATCAAGTTGTTTGTATAACTTCTTACACACGATGCCACAAAAGATATTTTTGAGGAATGAAAAATCAAATCTCGAATGTGCCGTTTATAAAAAATTACAATATTGAAAGGGTTTTTATGACCACTTAGATTTATCTGAGAAAGATATCCAGCTAGCATACGGAACGTCGGTGTTTCTACTCAGGTGCCAGTTTGTGTTTGTGGCTGAAATAATGTACAGAGGGGCAACTATGGTCTTCCTCCACCAGTAAAGCTGGAAAGTCACAAAATGACTTATACTGTGTTGGTACGACGTGAAATTAAAAAAACTATCTACAGCACAGCTAGTTATCTCACACTTTTAAATTCCTATTACTCTCAAATTCGTTTTTGGATGCTCTTAACATTGCAACAACGAAGGTTACGTAGAAAGTTGTTTTTGTCTATCTTTAATTCATATACATCAGACTTTATGGACACATTAATAATTTATTGCACAATTAAATACACAATGATCAGGAGCAATGAGTCACTACCGTTTCCCTTTTGTAAATATTTAATTGTTTCATTCGAAACATGTTAGATGTATGGTAAATTTGATTTTGAAACAAGTGTCTTTACAATTTTGCCCACAGCAAATCAATCAAAATTATAAACAAATACATGTATAAGCATGCTAAAGTTTGCAAGACAGGGAAGGAAAATGTTGTTTTACATTTTGTGTGATGTAAAAAGTTGTTTATATATTATACAAACTTTTGATTTGATTTACTTTTATCGATCTTCTTAAACACACTATATCAATAAGATATCATTGGTATAATCATGTAGTTTCTTAAAACATAAATCTATCTAAATATTAATTAATTGCGCTTTTAAATATGTAACTTATGTGTTGTCATATTTGTCTGGTCATTCGGGATAATTAATACATGCACATGAGTGTTGAAGATTTAATCAGCCATTCTCCTATAATTGAAGCACTTTTTAATAATTCCTGTCTCCACTTTTCAAATCGTAGTAAAATGTACAGACGAGCTTAATCATTTGTGACAAACATTGAAATAAGTACACTGGGATGTTCTCAGCAGCTTAACTTAATTTTGTAGCGTAGAAGCTCCTCGTTTTTCATTTATGTTAAACTGAAAAGCTATAGTATCTGCAAAAAATAGCTGTCGCTTGACCAATTAACGTTTAAGATTGGTGAAAAAAAAGAATCCATTTCCATGTTTTCCAACAAGTTTTTGCCTAAAATCAATACAGTATTGATAATAGATTCAGAATAACATAAGAAGTTCGAGAAAGAGACCCTTATTTTCCATGATTTTCTTTAAATGTTGCTGTCGCCGAAATGCAACTATGGTACCGTAACGATTTTAAACTGGAATGAAATTATCTTGAGATGTGTTATATTCTTTCAAATTTGTACCCAAAACAATATCAAAAGACTATATTTGGAATAAAATTGATAAATTAGACTCCTGCGATGATACATTTTAACTCAAACCGTTTTTTTGCAAATAATTCAAATGTCGCGTTTAAAATGCTATGCCTCCGTAACGGGTGTATACTTTTAAATATACAATATACCAATCAAATAAAAAATTTGAAATATTGTTTTGTATTTCTTTAAATGAAAAACACCAAAATGAGATGTCGTTTGCACAAAAATGTGATAACTCTGACCCGTAGAAGTCTAATTTCACTATGTTTCCATAACGACTATTTTCCGTAACAAAACGATCATCCGAATTTCGGTACAGTATACGGTTCAACTGACGGTGTGACATTTTTGCCTATCACCGCTCCCAATGATACGTCACTAAGAGGTATGAATGCAACATCTTAATTGACTTTTATGATACAATTGGGCAAATGGAGGTAATTGGCAGTCACTGTACTTTATTTTGGCAACCAGTGGTTTTGATTTGATAACGATATTTTCACAATTATGTTACTTACATGAGAAATTTTACTGATTAAAATCGATTGCAAGCTCTATTTTCAGCAAACCACAGAGTCAAAAGTAGCAAGTTGATGCTATTTAATTTTTTTTACCTGTTTAAAAGATTTGTTACGGAACATAGTTAATTATTTTGAGATCATAATCTGATGTCATATATGTACTTTATCCATAGTTATTTAACAATTTGAAATGAATGATTGGTTTCAAACACGGAACACATATTTCGATGAAAAATAAGTGCACAGTTTATCAAATAGTCAAAGACAATTTGTTACGGAAGCATAGTTTTCTATCATCTTTTTTCAGCACCATAATACATATATTCAGTTTGTTTATAAAAACTGTTCCAGTGAGTTTTTTCATTATAAAGATATACGAAAATGGTGTCCAATATTAACTGGAAGTCTAACATGATTTGTATTGTGTTGTAAGGTTGCAGCTTTCCGTTACGGAACATTTCAAATTTGTTACGGAACATAGCATTCATAAATGCTATGTTTGAATATGATTTTTTATGTTTTTTACTTTTTATAAAATACCAAAATTGTATCATTATGTCACTTACATTATCTAAAAGTTTTAGAATTACAATTATCATGAAAAAAGTAATATTAATAATGATATTAATGTAATAATGATAAAAATGATGATTATTATGTAATTGTTATATTGATAATCATGATAAAAATAATATTTTAATGATGATCATGTATCAAGGTTAATAAATTTATAATATGCAACAATTTTCTTGTGTAGAATGGTGCTTTTAAATACAGAAATACAAAAGACAAAAGCAGAGAGGGGAAAACAACAAATCATTCAAAAGAGAAAGAAAGGAGAAAAAAAGTATGTTCCCATTCAAAAAAGAAAAAGCACTGGTGAAGAAACTGTAGAGAGAACTACATGAAACATTATAACATTACAACAAATTTGTGTAAATTAGGCAGAAATAAAGCAAATAAAAGTGAAGAAAAAAAAAATTCTTGTTCATTTTCAGTGAAAAACATAATATTTTATTTTCCATAACATACGTTCCGTAACATATATCTTTTCCTGCACTACTCACTAAATTAAACTGTTGATGTTATTTTTAATTGATACAGTGTTTTATGATTATTGTTGTTTGTGAAGATACCACATTTAAATTGTTTAAGTAATTTTAAAGAGTAAAAATATTGAGTTATAAATCCTATGTTTTATAATTTTTCACCTATGTTCCGTAACAGATCATAAGGACTGTTTGATGAACATTTGTGCAGCGAAGTTTTTTTGGGAACGTTACACCGATTAAAAGTTATGTTTGATTTGTTTTCTGCTTCTGTTTTAGATATAATTCGATAACTTTTATGACAGTATTTGTTTGTGCATTGTATCGAAATAATGTCAATCTTTAGTTACGAAAATATTTGCTTATACAAGCTTTTCAAATACGAAGTATACAAGTTTCAGAATAAGATATGACGTGAAATATTTTTGCTTAAGGTAACCATTGGTCTTCAACTTTACAATGCATATTCTTTCGGATTGTTTAATTTAAAATGTTAGTTAAACAATAATTCCAAAGTAATTCCTATGGTATATATATGTTCCGTAACAATGTAATTCAGTAACTCACTTCAAACGCTTTCAGTATACAAACGGAGCGAATGGTGTGTGTTAAACTTCCACACAATCTGTCCAAGGTATTGAACATTAAAAGCAAATCATAGAAAACGTTGTTTATGAAAGTCAGATTTTTCATTTTTTGTGAACCAAAAGTGCTTCAATTATGGGAGAATGGCTGTAATACTGCTTAAGCCGGTGCTGGGATGGGGGTCGTGAGAGAGATGTCGCATTTTTACATTATCTCTCATGAACAGACTCAATCAAACCAGGTATATATATTAATATATAAAACCGGATGAAACAGAGTATTTCTTTTTATAGCCAATTCTTGACTTCTTTCGGGCT